GATATATTCCTAGAAGTGAGATCACTGGGTCAAATGGCAGTTCCATATTTAACTTTATAAGGAAACTCCACTGTGTGTGTGTGTGTGTTTTTAAAATGCCTTAGGATCTTAGAAGAGCCTCCCTGTCTTTTTCCTTATTATCATTTTCTTGTACCTTACACTTCAGGTTATACGAGAATGAAGTAAGATTATTGACACATGCAGGACTATTTATTTGATTTCTTTTCTTTTCAATATATAAGCAGCTTAGCTAAATGTCTCTAAGTAATTTGGGGATCTTCTATACCCTATAATGAAAGTAAGATACTTAATATGAAAAAAAATGGTCTGCTTATAATTAGTGAACAAGTCATATTTGAAATAAAGTTTTTATGAATTCATTAATTTAGCACTATGTATAAAGAGAATGAGCAGAATAAATCTTGCCCCTGTGAAGTTCATAATCTAGATTGGGAGCAACACAGAAATAATTTAGTAACATAGTGAGAAGTAGAGCAATAAAGTGTTTAGTCTCTGGAGTCTGATACATAGGTTTGAATTCTGACTCTGCTATTTAATAGTTGTATGAAGTTGGGTAAATCACTTAATTTCTATATCCCTTGGTTTATTTGTCTATAAAATGAGAATTGCCGGGAGCTGGTCCATCCTTGCTGTTTCAAGGGACCTGGCATATATGGCATACTGTTCCTAATATATTTGCTCACCTTCTTGGCACTATGTGTTTTAACCAAGGTCACCTCTCCAAGAAAGGTTGTTTCCCCAGGTAGGGATTTTTCCCTGAAGTCAGGGAGGGGATGAAACATTACCTACTTCATAGGGTTGTTGTGAGGATTTAAATAGAGTTAATATTTGTAAGAGTTTATGAGTAACTGGCACACAGTGTTAATTGTTAGCTGTTATTATTGCTATTATCACTGTATAGAAGTATGTATGAACATAAAGTGAAGGCAATGGACATAAAATGAGGGCATTATATCAGATGACCTCTAATTATATATTCCCACAATTTATTATTGTCCGCTACTCTACCGCATCACTCCACCCATGTCACATAACCTTCTATTTCTGAGTCCTTGCTCATCTTTCCATAGTGATCTCTTTCTTATAAGTGTCTTTTCCCCATACTGCTTGAACCATCACATTGTATACCTTCTTATTCTCTGAATGTATGTTTGGTACAACTTAATTCTTTCTTATGTCACACATAATGTGGCCATATACAATACCATGTTCCTATTTAGCTCAGGTCTTATATGGATTACAGAGTAGTTCAACTGTACTTAACAGCAGAAGATGCTTAATAAATACTGGTGATTAATTAAAGTTACTCAGTTTCAAAAACAGCTTTTACTGGCATAGATCAGAGGTTGGCAAATTTTTTTCTGTAAAGGGCCAGATACTAAATATTTGTCACTCTATGGGCCATATGGTCTCCGCAGCAACTGCCACAACTATTCCACTCTGCCATTGTAGTGCCACAGTTGCCACAGACAATATGCAAACAAGTGGGCATGACCATGTTTCAATAAAACTTTTTTTTAAAATTTGATTTATTTTGGCTGAAACAGGTTTGGCTCAGTGGATAGAGCGTTGGCCTGCGGACTGAAAGGTCCCAGGTTCGATTCCGGGCAAGGGCATGTACCTTGGTTGCGGGCACATCCCCAGTGGGGAGTGTGCAGGAGGCAGCTGGTCAATGTTTCTCTCTCATCGATGTTTCTAACTCTCTATCTCTCTC